ATCTGAGCATATGCAACCAGTGCTGAGTGTGCAGCCCCCTCCAACCTCCCCCCACCCCCCGCGAGGCCAGGAGTTCCTAAAGTGTGGTCCTTGGACCTGCAGTATCAGCATCATCTCTGAACTTATTAGAAATGCAAGTTCTCTTGCTGCACTCCAGTTGCATGGAATCAGAATCTCTGGGGAATGAGCCCAACAATGTGCTTTCATAAGCCCTACAGGCGTTTCTGATACTTGTTCAAGGTTACGAATCACTACTTTAGACACAACACACATTTTGGTCAGATAGAATAACCTCCAGTTTCCCTGGCTTTTCATACTCTTTTATATCCACGGACTGTGATGCTTGAAAATCTTCCCCTGCAGCGGATCTGCCTCCAACACCCTTCTAGACTAGCTTGGTCATCACCTCGCCTGACAGGCCCTTCCCAGCCAGGCTGAGGGAGACAGGCTCTTCTCTGCTTCCAAAAAACCTCCTACCATCTTCTACCTGAGCATTTATTTATTGTTTCATAACTGTTTACTTGATTTCACTCCTGAATACATGGATTTTATCCTCCCACATTTAACATTTTAAATAACTATTATGTTTCAAGGCACTGGAGAATAAGAACTTTAAAAAGATTGAGATCTTTATTCTAATAAAAAAGACCAGACAACAAATAATGTAAATAAATGCATTTCATCAATTCTAAGTTTGAGTCTTAATCGATGGCACGTGGGGTTTAATTGGTAGCATGTTTTGCTTTTGTAATAGTACATAAAATAATAGTGTGGTTTACCATAATATGGCACCTTTAATGTGAAGAAATACAGACTGTTAAAAAAAGCAGTATGTTATAAGGAGAAAAATACAGCCTGGATGAAGGATGGAGGTGGAGAGAGTGTTTAGGATGTTCAGGAAAGGCTTCACTGAGAGGGTCCCGTTTGAAGACAGACCTGAGTAAGGCAAGCAAGGAGTTTTAGGGATGTGGAGGAGAGTAAAGGTATGGGAAGAGCATTCAAGGTAGAAGGAACAACAAGCACAAAGGTCTAAGACCAAGAAAAATGGTGCACGTCTTGCTGATCTGTTTATAACAGAGCTTAGAATAGTGTCTGATAAATACCCATAAATGTTTCTGTAACAGACTTCAACCATTGGTAATGTAGTGATACTTTTAGAATGTAATGATTACAGTGTATTTCATCTCCATGCATGTGCTGGCATTAGTGACTCCTGGAAATAACAAAGCAACATAATAGAGAAGTGTAAATTCAGGAAATACTGTTAGGTATCTGTGGTGTTCCAGGCCTTATGACAGGTGTTGGGGATACAGAGATGTATTAAATATGGTTCTTGCCCTCAAGGAGCTCTCAACTAGTAGGAAACACAGAAAAATAACCACAATATAAAACTCTAAAGGTACAGTCACAGGTGTATGCAATGTATTTTTGTAGCCACATAAGAAGGAGTAATATCTGTGTTTCTTTATACTCCTGTCAAGCCCTATTTCAATTTTCATCCTCTTGGAGGGAAGTAATGAGCAGCCTTCTAGCAGTAATTGGGTTGTACTATTTGGCTGTGAGAAGTACATCTACCATATGGTTTTCGATCTTGATCTTTTATCAAATTGCCAATTGCCAAGGTACTTTAGATTCCAGGTCATACATTGGACATTTTTAATAAATCAGATATAAAACATGGCCTAAAGGTTACATATTTTGCTACTAATGTCATTTTTAAAATAATGATTCATCAAAGCACTTGAATGCTAGGACAAGAGGTCGAACAAATGTAAATTGCTACTCTGTTCCAGCTTATGACACTTAATAAATTCATGAATTTCCTCTGTCTTTTTTTTTTTTTTTTTTTTTTGAAGACGGAGTCTCGCACTGTCATCCAGGCTGGAGTGCAGTGGCACAACCTCTGCTTCCCAGGGTCAAGCAATTCTCCTGCCTCAGCCTCCCAAGTAGCTGGAATTACAGGCAACTGCCACCACGCAGACAAATTTTTTGTGTTTTTAGTAGACAGGATTTCACTATGTTGGCCAGGCTGGTCTTGAACACCTGACTTTGTGATCCGCCCGCCTCGGCCTCCCAAAGTACAGGTGTGAGCCACTGTACCCAGCCTCCTCTGTCATCTTTTAAAAGATGGTGAGCTGATTCGCAGCTGGCTTTAAGTGCAGCTGAGTCAAGTAATCAGAGTGGCCCTGATTCTCTCTCTCTTAGTTCTGATTTTCTCTATGTGACTGGAAACTCTGTTTCCTTATAGTGGAAGCCCCAGTTGTCACCTTCTAGCAGTTCCAGACCTTAAATCCAAGTCCAGAGAAGAACAATAATATCTTTCCCACAAGCTCTGAGAAATGCCTCATCCTTCCTCATAAGGTCAGATATTGATTCCTATACTAGTAATCAGTGCAGATTCAACATTGCCAGAATTCTACGAAATGAGAGTTGGGGATAGCATTTCCTTTCAGAGAAATAGAATATGGATAGAGGAAATAGTAGCACATACCTATGGTGGGGCAGGAGCAAAACAGGATGTCTACTAAACATCCTATCAAAACATGAACTTGATCGATCATCACACCCGTAGTGAAATGGCTCCTGCCTCATAGCTCCTGAACGACTGACATACTCCTGCCTCTTTTGTCCTGTCCTCACTTTTCTCATATCGACCAGTCTCGTATCTGTGGACTGAATTGTGTCCCCCTCAAAATTCATATGTTGAAGCCCTAATTCCCAAAGTGAGGAGTATTTGGAGATTGAGTTTTGCAGAGATAGTTGGGTTTAGATGATGTCACAAGGGTAGGGCCATGTGAGGACATATACAGAAGTCAGCATGTGGGTTATTCAGCAATCCAGAAAGAGAACCCTCAGCAGAAACTCACCATGCTGGTGCCCAGAGCTCGGACTTCCAGCCTCCAGAACAACGAGAAAGAAATCTCTGTTGTTTCAGCCACCCAGTCTATGGCATTTTGTTATGGCAGCCCAAGTAAACCAGTACACCAAATAAAGGCAAAGTTATTTGTACATTCTGGTTTATGCACATTTCTGGAAATTTTCAAGGGAACAATGAAACTCAATTCTACTTTTTGTTCCTGTTGAAGTAATTTTTGAGACCTGCACTGTCTTAATACAGAAGCCGCCAGACACTTGCAACTCTTGAGCATTTGAAATCCAGCTATTCCATATTAGAAACACCAGATTTCAAAGACTTACTTAATAAAAAAATGTAAAATAGCTCATGTAAACTAAAATTCCTAAGCCCTCTCCACCAACTGAATGGACACCCTCTTAGCTAAGAAGACTGATACTGCAGAGAAACCTTAAAAACTAAGTTCTGGGCCATGATGTGACAGGAAGTCAGACACCCCTTCTTATGCCCCTTCCCTTTTGTGGTTTAGGCACAATCACCGGCCAGAATTAATATTAAAATAGAGGTCACAAGACTGACAGAATGGACTCTTTGTAGTAATAAAACACCAAATTACAAACGGGACCTACCATGCCAGGCAAGAGTTACCATGTACCACTCCCCTCCCCGACTTTGCCCTCCGCTGACTCACACACTAAAATAATAAACTGGGTTCCAACTGCAAAAGTTTTTTCCTTTTTTCCTGGAAGCTAAACAAGCAGTGGCCTTAACAGAAGCAATATTAAAACAATTTGCAGCTCACCACCAGCCACGGACTAACTGAGCTCCCTGTTCCACCAGCCATAACTACAGCTTTGATTGGACAAGAGACTGATTTCAGTAACTTCCTCCTTATAAGAAAACCACCAGCCATGGACTGGGTCTGGCCGATTTACAGAGGCTGTGCACTTGGTTGCCTTTGTATCTTAAAAAGGAGGTATAGGGCCTAAATGTAATACGTTTAAATGTTAATTAACATGGTCATATGTTACATTCATGTTTGTTCAGTACACATGCCTCAGGACCACCTTCATGGGTATCTACGGCTCCTCCTGTAACCTGTTGACTATGTATTATTTGGCCAACCTGTTCAACTAAAATTTGTCTTATCCCTCTCTCCCTCAAAGTGCCTATTTCTTGTTTTTGCTGGAAGCTACACTTCCCAGCCAGTGGGATGGCCACCTGGCAGGCTGTAAACTTTTATAAGAAATAAAATCTTTTTTTCTAAATGTATAGATCTTGTGATTTTTCAGTTAATCTTCACTGTATATATGTTCTTGATTAGATGTTGAAAAAAATATTCTGGATATATTTGGTTAATTAAAATACATTGTTAAAATTAATTTTACCTGTTTTTTTTTACTTTTTAAAATGTAACTACAAGAATATTTTAAATTATGTTAAATTATGTGTGTGTTTCACATTGCATTTCTACCAGACAGTGTTGCCATTGAGATTACTGAGATGCTCTGAGTCAACCATTTATTTCACACCATGTTTCTCAAAGTGTGGTCCCCTCTGATTTGAAGCATCAGCATTACTTGGAAACTTTTTAGATATACAAATATGTCACCACACCTCAAACCTACAGAATCAGCATCTCCAGATGGGGTCCTCCCATGTGGCTGCTATGGTAAGACACAGAACTGAGCACACCCTTCACACTAGTGCTTCGGAAACGGATGGACCTGGAATGGGATTACTGGACTTGGCAAAATTAACCTTTGCAAGAGGATCAGATTTACTGAATTGCAAAGCAATTTAAAATGTTGGTTTTTGTGCTAAAAGTGTTCAAAAATAGACAAGAATATTGACGCAAAGCAAGCTGTTGTGCTCTGGAAGAGGCCTGCTTGGCTTGGCGAGGGGGTTGGGTGGTAGAATGAGATATATATGTAATCAAGCCCCTCTAATATTTAGTTTAAAATGAGAGATGGGGGATTTGACCTTATAAACTGGTATCTATTGAATTTGATTTTAAACTTGATTCTTAATCCTCACAACACACTTTGCAGTGGCCACTATTATCAACTTCATTTTGTGGATAAGGAAACTGAGGCACAGCAAAGTAAATTAGCCATGCTTGGCTAATTAAGTATGGTTAAGGAGTCAGAATGGATCGGGCTACAGAGAGCAGTGGCCTTATCACTGTACCTATTGTCTTGCCCAGGCCTTATCTTAGCTAATCAACTAATCTGTAAAGTGGGTATTTCTCCACTAGTCATTCCTGGCTGCCATTAAAATCACCTGGAGACACTTAAAACACACACTCCTGCCTATGCTCCACCAAACTAGAGATTCTGATTCCATTGGTCTGAAGTGCATTCAGGAGTGTGTAAAGCCCCTCAGGGCCTCCAAAACAGCTCCCACTTGACAGGTGATAAGAAGAGACTGGAAGGAACAGGGTTGAACAAATTGTCAAAGGCTAAACTCAGGTTCTGTAAATTAGGCAAGGGCTTCTCCAACCGGACTGTGCACATGTCCTTGGCTATCTCTCAGATGCAGGCTCAGACGCAGTAGCGCTAGGTGAGGCCTGCAATCCTGCAGTGTCCAGGCAAACTTGAGGCTACTGGTCCCAGAACCAGGCTTTGGGTTTTGGGTAGCACTTTGTCATATGCCCTGAACCTTGTGGTGTTTCCTGGCCCTCTAGAGAGCTGCGGCTTTCCTGACAGTCTAACCTGGGAGAGCATATTCGGCCAAGGTGCACCCAGATTTGGGATTCTTTAAGATCCCAGGTTTGAGAAACGTTCAGTGCTCTCCAAGATCCAGACTACGAGGAAGACCTTGGAGTGGAGTCGGAGTTCTAGTTCCTGAGATGGAGGAAGATTCTGGGAAGCTGAAAGAAAAAAACTCACCGTTGCTGTCCAGAGGCAGGAAGCCCGCAACAACACCCTTGTCCAGTTCCTCTCCTCTCCTCCCACCCAACCTCAGCCTCGGACTTCCCACTCTTCGCATTCCCTCTGACTCCCGCCTGAGCCCTGGGGCAGGGTGCCAGGACAGGCAGCCTCTCCCTCCCGGGGGATGCACGGCTTTCTTCGTCCCGCTGGAGGGTCAGACAGAAGGGATTCAAGCATTTTGATGCGCATTTCTCACGTTCCCTTCTACAGCTCTCCCTCACCGTTGCTGTGACTTTCAACACTGGTTTTGCCCCCTTCTTCCAAACTGGGTGATGTGGCACGAGGCCGGCCCTTGGCTTCGCAGCGCCTGGAGGTTCGGGGAGAGCACTCTACGGGCACCCAAGTTCCCAGTTCACGGTGAGATGCGGACTTTCCGTGGACCGGGAAAGGAAGGAGGGTTTTTGCGGCCCGCATATCCCCAGGGCTCTTTCCGGGCATTGGAAGAGAGAGTCCTTTCCTTTCGCAGCCTCCCGTGAAAAAAGATGCCACGTTGCGCGGTGCGGGTAGACTCGGAGGCCTCAGGCGCCCCAGGGAACCGCCACAGCACACAGGGCCCTGAGGTTCATGGCGACAAGGGGCACGGCGCTTGCGCTCAGCACATAAAATGGAAAAACGGATCATAACCTCGCGTTCAGGGGAAGTTCGGGTTTTTTGTTTTGTTTTGTTTTTGTTTTTGTTTTTTAAGAAATGGATCCTTCCCTAACCAAAATCTAGTACCTAGGGCTGCCCACCCTCTCCCCGCCTGCACAGCCATCCCAGGTTCCGGCCCATCAAGTCGGGAAATGAGACGATCTATCAGCGCGGGGTTCCAGGGAGCTGCAGCTGGCCCCGAGTGCGCGGCTGGAGGCGTTCCCCATCTGCGCGCGTCCCCAGAGTCACCCGGCAATAACTGCGCTGCCGCCGCCGCCTGGGCTCCCAACCTCCGCGCGACCCGCATTAGCTCGCGTCGCCTGCTGTGGCTTTGCTGCTCTGGGCTCTAAGGCCGGTTTGGCTTGGGTTGAGACTCCCGAGGCCGCAGGCGAGGCGGTGGCTACAAACTTTCATAGACCGTGCTTTTTCGCTGAAGAAGAAAAACATTGGCCCCGGAGAATTAGAAAAACCTGAGGAGGAAATAGATTTGGGCCTGGAGAATGCGGGGGTAGGTGGCCACGCGGGGCTACTGGGCCAACGGACGCCTCTGGTGGACAGCAGAGGCCTGGGGATTCTCACAAGCAGGGGCAAGTCTGGGGCACCCCAAATTTGCTTTTAAATGGAAAAAAAACTAATGGTCACCATGGAGAACAAAAACCCCAATGTGATGTTTTCATACCCTTATTTTGAGGGACTGTTGAAAAGATCTCCAGGGCATTTATCAGGTGTGGAGCCTCCCAGAGTTCGTATCTGGCCCTCACTGGAGCAGGGAAAATAGGCAAGGACAGGCCACCCTTGAGCGCCGCCAGACACGGGCTCTCACGTCCCGCCTGCGGCGTAGGGCAGCACACCTGGCGGCTGGACCGGGACAGGAGGCGGTGCGCACCCGGTCTCCGAAGCAGTCTCAGTGGTGGAGACTCCGCGGAGAGGCGGGCCCTCGGTTTGTCTTCCATTAAGGTGGAAGTCTGGATTTTTCTTCCAGTTCCAATCCATGGTGGAGAAGGCCCTTTCTCCCACTCCCTCGTGTCCAGATCAGGGAATGAGGAGACAGTAGGGAGGGAGGAAGCCTTAACTTAGCCCAGAGTCTCCAACAGCCTTGGGCTCCCCGAGGGGTTGGAGGTAGGAGATGTGAGTTTTAATCCTGCTTCTCTCGGCCTGGAGCTTAGTTTAGTGACCAGAGACCTTACAAAGGGAACACCAATGAGTCAGTCCACCTTCTCTTCTGGTCCTGGGGCCCAAACCTACTTGTGTTCAGGGCTGGCGCCAGCCCCGCCGCATCACGAAGATGCGCTTCCTCTGTATACGCACCTGGGCTGTCTGCGAGCCCTCGGAGCCTGGTCGGCAGTATCTGCTTCGACCTCCTCTGAGCAGAATCTATTGTCTGTTTGGAAAACCTCATACAAGTCATGGGGTTGTCGCAGGACCAAACTGCAGCGAGGATTCCCGAGCGCCCCAGGCGCTGGAACTCAGCATCCTCCCCATTTTACCTGGAGGCTAGACCGCTGGGGCTCTTCGCGGGGATTTCCCTGGCCACGAATACTGTGCTGGAGGTTGAGAAAAGAACAAGAAAGAGAGAGAAGCGAAGCCTCTGTAATGTGGTCTCCTCCTTCTCCTCTGTTTAATACCCCGCCTCCCCTACTGGTCTCCAGGCTTTTCTCTGCGCAGCGGAGGGACCCGAGAAGCTCGCGGCCAGTGATCGCCGGGATGTCTCCTCACCCATCCTCCCCAAAGCAAGATCGGCAGAGGCGTCCCAGGGCGTAAGAGTTCCGAAGAAGGTCTCAGAGGAGCCAAGACACGCTCTCTACCAGGAACTTTCGTCGCCTTTTGAAATAGACAAGTAAAAAAAGTAAGAGAACAGTGAACTCCTGTGACAAGTCTAACTCTCCTAGGTACACAAACACTAAAAACCCCGTGGTTCCTGTCGCCATGGACTGAACCTAACCCCAGCCCCGGGACTGACCTCTGCCTGAGCTTTGGAGCCAGTGTGGACCTCGCCTTTGCAAGTAGACCTGAGTTTTATGACCCGTCACTATACCCGGAGCAGCTGCACGAATGTGCCAAGGAGCCCAATTCGCGTGCAAAGCGCCGACGTCTTTGTCTTTCCCAGGCTGAGGACATCGTGAGCTAGGGGTCCAGGCAGCGAGGCACCCAACAGTAGCGTACATCTTCCTTCACACCCGCAGAAGCTGTCAAGTCTGGAGTTCGCAGCGGGCGTTCGGGCCAGCCTGAGGATACAGAGCCAGGAGCAACCAGGCCCACCTACCGCTGCGCGATCCAAAGGTAACGCCACAGACCATGGTCCATGTGTCCTGAGCAGCGCACACTTCCTGCACCTTCAAATATTACATTTTACTAATTGAATCCCGAGCACCCCAGACCTCTTCAGGAATTGATTAGATCACTTCCCTACTAAGATCACTCAGAGGCTTGGGGCATGTAGTTCTGGAGGGATCCTGTAGGAAAGGTATGTCCAAGACCAGAGAGGTGAAACCACTCCTTCCAGATGTCGCTGCTAGAGTAATAAAGTCATCACTAGAATACTGCTTCTTATGCTCCCATCCCATTCACCTTTCTAATACACTCTCCCCTTTCCACTACCTTGTTACTAGAGCATCTTGCAATGTTTTCACAAGGAAGAAAAAAAAGTCCTAAACTTACAGCATCAGAGCACCCCAGGGAATTCCAGAACTCCAGCTGCAATGCCTGCAAAACTTCAATAGGAGGCAGTGGACTCTGGGCTCCACTCTCACCATCCTTCCCAAAGGCTATTAATAAAAATTTTCCTTAGTTCCAAATACTTCTTCAAGTTAATATACTGATAACTTCAGATAGAGAATTAAAAGAGTAACTGGCAGGCCGCGGTGGCTCACGCCTATAATCCCAGCGCTTTGAGAGGCCGAAGTGAGTGGATCACAAGGTCAGAAGTTCGAGCCCAGCCTGGCCAAAATAGCAAAACCCCGCCTCTACAAAAAAATACAAAAATTAGCCAGGCGTGGCGGTACATGCCTGTAGTCCCAGCTACTCGGGAGGCTGAAGCAGGAAAATCATTTGAATCTGGGAGGGGGAGATTGCAGTGAGTGGGGATTGCCCCACTGCACTCTAGCCTGGGTGACAGAGTGAGATTTTGTCTCAAAAAAAATAACTAACCAAGGGAACGATGGACTCCTGTGATATCTCAGAGATTTTTAGGGCACTGAATTATCTCAGAATTCAGGTAGCAAAACATGTTAAATGAGTCACAGCTTGTCTAACCTTAGGCCTACTGGGACAGATGTCATTCCTTGGAGAACAGACTTATTTAAGACTCTAAAAAATCCTCAAATGAGTTTTAATTCTACCTTACAGAAATGTCCCCTGCCCACAAATTAACAAGGTTTTCTTCACTGCTGAGATAGCAGGGTGAATCGTGTATCACTGACCAAAAATGGTTATGTTGAAGCTTGTGGCAACTAAATTCCCATATAACTAACGTAAAACTGCTCAGAACAGTTAACTAATCATGGATTCAAAAGAAAAAAAATTTTATTTTCTACTGAAATTTTGGGGAATGATGACCTTGTTTCTCACCATTTATTTTGTCAGGGTTTGCTATAAGGACACTGTTCTCTGTATTCCCCCATGGTGAAGGCATTGCCTCTAAATGAACTCATGAAGGATAGTTTTTCAGGACTTAGTGTGAACATATCCAATAAAAGGCCATTATTCTGGTGGCTTGTCCCCTCCACTGGCTAACCTTATTGCAGAAACAACCCTTGTTTCATTAGAGTAGATGCAGGAGACACCGAAGAAGTACCAGGATGAAGGAAATTGCACCAAGGGTGGGCAGACTGAGTGTGTTGGAGCCTAAACTCAATTTTCTGATCCTTTCCAAATATTCTAGGGCTTAGCAACACATGCACAAAATATTCTTGTGTATACATTGCCCATGCACACACTTACTGTTTTACTTTTTGCTCTGGACCTAAACCCTTGTGAAATGGAAACTGAAAAATACTTCTTGTGCAAACATTTATTTTCTAGCTTCTATCCCACAAGGATTTAGATCCAGAAAGGATTACAAAGGTCTTTGAAGGCAATGATTAAATGAAATAATGAAATGAAATAATTGATCTGTGATAAGCTGAACACAAGAAAAGGTTTTAGTGAGTAGAAAGCCTGACTCAACAGCTGTGTGCATCTTGTTTGTTTAAATTACTTCTGCTTCTGTTATTCAGGTGTGCTCCCATTGTCTGTGTGTGGGTCATGGAGGGATGGCTTCGTAGCTGTGGAGACAACAGAGCAAGGCGTGCATTTTTACACTTTACTGTAAAGTGGACTGAAACCTCAATAAACCAAATTTCGGCTGCAACAAAGCCCAACCTTTTCCTTTTGAAGCTCTTAAATATGCTTTTCTTATTAGTATTGTTCACTAAATTTCATAATTTTGTTTTTTAATTCTACAAAGACAAATCAGTTGCATGCACAACCAAGTATAAAAAGATGCCCCTAATAATTTGAAAAGTGTAGTTTTATTTAGGATAAATTTTGCATATGCCATTCTTTTGCTTATGCCATATGTTAGTAAATTATCAAATAAGGAAATAAAATAGGGGTTTAATAGTATGTAAGGCACTGTGGATTTAGGGCCTAATTTGTTTTTTATAAATTATAAATTGATAAATATGGATGGATGAAGAGTTACATCTTTGCATTGATTCCCTATTCAATAGATATTTTATTCATCTGCCTTCCTCCTTCCACCCTACATCAGTTTGTCAACTTCTTTCAAGACCCACCTTCTCCAAGAGGGCCTATTTTGGTCAGTTTCCACCACTCTCCCACCTGGGATGCCTGTCTTATTTTTATCCCTTAAACATTTATGGAGACACTGTGCCAGGCTATATGGCATCTTTATGTAAATTCTTATATTTTTTCATCCAAATGGAAAGTTCTATGCAGGGACCTCTTCTTGAACTTTTATAAAACAGCAACCACCCAATGACATGAGATTCATTAAGGCTAATTCAGTAAGTATCCATATGAAATGAAAAGCGCCTTTGAAGGACTAGAGGGTCTAGAGGAGATCCCAAAGCCAGTGTGTTTGGGTCACACTACACCCTAACAATTTCTATTGACCACCAGCAGCAATAATAAAAATTGACACAGTCACCACCCACACAAGTGTACATATTTATGTCAGTTTCTCCTACAGTTTCTTTCAGATTTGAGAAATAAAAAAATAGAGCACATTTAGGGAAACATTATTAATATATTAAAATGCAATTTAATGGTAAATTTTGCTCCTTGATCACCTCTTTGCTTATTTTAGAAAACCAAAGAATTTTTCTGAATGATTAGAAAGGTATTTACTTAATGTAGGTAAAAGTTGTAGGTATAATGACCTAACTCATATTGCAATGTATCACAGTGGATGAGATGAACAAATTAATGGGTATTTGCTAGCCATGTTTAAGATTAAACATTAAAAAGGGTTATGCTTTGAAAATGATCCTCTCAGAAGGAAAGGGTTAAAATTACTTCCTTTCTTCTTTCAACTCATTTGAGTACTCTAGGGAACACTCCTTTGTGTCAACAAAGAGATCATTTATATCACGTATAATTTTCAAAGGAACTACCAAAACATTTTAAGATAAATGAAGAATGCTACTACTAGCCTAATATTTTATTATTAAGGTGGATAATCATGAATTAATTCAGTTGATCTTTTAACAACTTATATAATGAAGATATCTGCAATAACATATTACAGGATAAATTGTCATAATATTTTATAGGTATCACTTCTACTTGTGTAATGATAAATATCTTTGGGTTTTCAAAGCATCAGGCATACTGTAAGTAGTAAGTATTTGGTTAATGTTTATGGATCTATTTGTACTTTGTATAGAATGCTTTTATATTCATTCATTGGCCTATTTGGTCTAACTAGCCATCCCCTGAGTTATTTTCCCAATTTTTCAGATGAGAAAAAAAATCTTTTACAAGGTCACAAAAGTAGTAAATAGTGAATCCTGGACTGAAATCTACTCATTTCTTCCCTCATAAAATGTTGGCGAAAGAGAGAGAGAGAAAGAGAGAGAGAGAGAGAAAGAGAGAGAGAGAGAGAGAGAGAATAAATACTTTATTACATGTCTCATTTTTTCCAGTTTTCCAGTACTACATGAAAATAAAGGCTTAATAATATTTGCTGACATGAAAACAAGTAACACATATAAATGTTGTATCTTCCATGCTCAACTGATAAGAATTGACCTTATATCAATCTTCTGTATAAAATCATTTAAGTTCTCCTGTATAACTTTGCATCAATTCTTCTATATATAATTATCTTTGTAAAGTTCTTGAGAAATGTTTGGATGAAATACTGAAATACAGACATAAAAGTAAAGATGTCAAAATATAGTGTCAATTTTAATATTACATTATAATTTGAATTGGTAGTGATCTAATTATTGATATAGGAATATGTTTGAAAGCCAAAAACATTATATATATACTTTGTGGCAGATATGTGAGAATATAATTATACTTAAAACAGCATTCTACAATTTCAAGAATGTGAATTAATGATAGAGATTTTAGGTTTCAGATCATTATTTGATATTGAAAAAAATTCTGGAAGTCAAAATATGAAGTAAAAATATTCTATAAGAAGAAATGAAGATAATCTTTACCCAGCTAAAGCATGTGAGTTTTCTATTTTAATTCTAACTGATCATTTGACATTTTGGAAGGTCATTTAATTTATTTTAGCTTCAGTTTTGGGGTATGTACAACCATAATAACTCTTAATCTTTCCTTGCCTACCCTCTAAGGTTGGAGAGAATCAAATTACATAACGCGGGTGAAATATTTTGCAATTTTTCATTTAATATGACACTGTTTGTTTTATTACATTATATTACTGATGCAACATTTATTTGCATCATAAAATATCCTCTAAGGAATAAAATATTTGGACATCACTACAATTAATGAGGACTGCACGTGTATTTTTGAAAGCCATATTCTGATTTATAGAGCAAAAATAAAAAATAAGCAAGCTACCAAATATGTAAATATAGGAATTAGCCCAGTAGTATTTGTTTTTCCGTTCCACTAGAGGCTTTAGAGTAATGTCAGTGTGTGTTTTTCTTACATAACTATGTGACATTACTTAGGGCATAATTCTAAATATTCTCTTAAAAACTTCTGATTTGCTTGCATCCCTTCTTCACAGAGTGGTCACAATATAATGCGGGAGGGTAAATGACCCCAGAGTTCAGAGTTCTCACGTACCCAGGAGCAAAATTCACAGAAAAATAAGCCCACATGGAGCTACTGCATTGTCTGATGGCCTCGTTTGAGGAGGTGTCAATTTAACTTTAAACCCATGAGCTTATTGAGAGCAGGGGAGAGAAGGGGATGTCTCCAAATGCAGGAAACTGTTGCCATAGCATTTTCTCTCTCTATTCCTGCATAGCCCTCTTCCCCCAAAGCAGCAACAATTTTTGATCTACCGTTTCTTTTAGGAACCAGATGCATTTTCAGAAGACAGTACTCCAGTAATATGATATCTACACTACATAATAACTGTACCTGGTAAGAAGATTTAATAAGTCTGAGGGTGGTGCTAAGTTTCTCAGAACAGACTCATCTTTGCGGATGCAATTGCAGAACAGGAAACAGACCCAGGGAGGATTTTTTGGCCCCCTCCAAATCTCATTGGCCCTCCTCACAAGCCAAGCCACAGCCACTCCTGCCACACAACCGGATTGCTTTCAGCACTCGCAGCCGTGGACAGCTCCCTCGCCGCGCGGTCGTTTTCTCTGCAGTGAGCGGATTTGCTCTGCCAGCAGCTGTCGGTGCCGCACTAGACACCGAGTCCTAGCCAGCGCTCACAGAATACGCGCTCCCTCCCTCCTCCTTCTCTGGCCCCCGCCCCTCGCTCACCCCGGCCCACTCCAGAGGCGACTTTGAGGGATTCCCTCTCGGGCGGCCTCTGCAGCAGCACAGGCTGCAACTCATTCGCTGCACTGCAAGTATGGATCTCCGAGGAAGAGCGGTCCCCAGCGTCGGCAGACTTCGAGTTCTCTTGATGCTGTTCCGTGAGTAGCGTTTTGGCGACTGGGAGGACGGGATGCCCTCTTTGCAGAGAACAGAGCCGGCAAAGTAAAACCAATTAAGACCAAAAAAAAAAAAAAAAAAATACGGCCCTTATGTCATACGGGTTTTTTTTTTTTTTTTTTCTTTTGGGGGAGGAGGGAGAGCCTTCCCTGCCGGTGGCAGGGAATTCCCCTGAGAGCCATACACCTGTGTGATATATTCCAGACAGAGCCTAGATAGGCCAGCTTCGTGGAGTCAGAGCATTGGCAAGAAAGATTTAGTTTAAAATCCCAAGAAGTAGAAAACGGCCAGCAATATTACAAACTAAGTCATGATTTTTTTAAAAAAATATTTTTTAAATTATATTTTCATTATAAATTAACAGGGGAAGGAAGAATGAAGCTTGTTAGACACAGGCTAGAGAAATGGCTCATACAGCACACAACTGCTGGCAGAGAACTTTGTCACTCCAAAGCCTGCAGACCACTGTCTCCCCATCTTAGCGCCCAAGACGCGTGGGCTCACTGAGCCCTGAACTGATGGAATTTGTTTTGTTCGTTCCGCAGATACAATGGCTCAAATCACGGCAGAACAAGAAGTGGAAAATCTCTCAGGCCTTTCCACTAACCCTGAAAAAGATATATTTGTGGTGCGGGAAAATGGGACGACGTGTCTCATGGCAGAGTTTGCAGCCAAATTTATTGTACCTTATGATGTGTGGGCCAGCAATTACGTAGACGTAAGGAATCTTTTTCCCCCAGCTTGCTCGTAGGGCTCCAGGGCCAAGGGCACACCCTTCCTTATGGCCCTTCAAAGACCTGGGTCGCCCGCCTTCTTCCCCACACCCCTGCAGGCTGCTCCCGAATGCTGCATGGGGGTTCCAGCTTGTAACGCCTTCTGCTCTCCTTGCCTGCTTTGAAAATAACCCCTCTTCTCTCCGCTTCCCCTATCGGCTGGGGCTGCTGGTAAAGCATCTAACCGCATGTTCCCGGAACCTGGCATGCGCGCGCGCAAAGGAGCGCCCAAGCGTGCAACCCAGAGTTTGGACGCGCCGCCCTTTACAGCCCCCACCCCGGGTCGGGCGCGCTGAGGGGGCGCGGGGCGTCTGTGTTCCCAGCTGATCACAGAACAGGCGGATATCGCGCTGACCCGGGGAGCTGAGGTGAAGGGCCGCTGTGGCCACAGCGAGTCGGAGCTGCAAGTGTTCTGGGTGGATCGCGCGTACGCACTCAAAATGCTCTTTGTAAAGGTAACTCAGACCCGCGTGGGCAGAGGGGCCGCAGGCTCTGCGTGGGTGTGGGAAGTGGCGGCCCCTGGGTTTAAGAACCCAGACGCTGCGGAGGCGATTGAAGCGCGCCTCCCCGGCTCAACAGGAAAGCCACAACACGTCCAAGGGACCTGAGGCGACTTGGAGGCTGAGCAAAGTGCAGTTTGTCTACGACTCCTCCGAGAAGACTCACTTCAAAGACGCAGTCAGTGGTGAGTAGAGGCTGGCAGGACTGGGGAGGGAGCCTGGGAACTCGAGGAGCAGGCTTGGAGAGAGAATTCCTTGGGTTTTGGAAACCGTTCCTGGCTTTGCCGCTCCCAGGCCAAGGCATCCTCGGCTTGCTCTTTAGGGGTGAAAGGGCGGGAGCGCCGGTGAGTCTTCTGGGTCTCAGGCCCTGTAGATCCGCAAGGAACCGCAGGCTTGGGGACCCATCCATCACCCATAGCTTGATCCTAGATAAGACGTCCCTTGAAGGCCTGTGGTTCCCTGACTGCTTCAGGACGACCTCTTATGATTTGGCCTTTGAAGGAGCACGAAGAAGGGCAAAGCTGTATTTTAATTTTCTTCAGCACCCTGGTTTTGTTTCTCATGCGCTGAAACTGCAAGGAGGCAGTGCGACTTTCCTTTTCGGCCAGGATGTGATGGCCTTCAGTGTCTTTTTTGCGCATGGCAGCATGGCTCTCACGGGATATTAAGTCGCCGACTGCAGCCACCTGAGAGTGGACTCTGCACCATCTATAATTTACTAGCGTTTCTGGCCCATCCCTCTGACAACTCACCCAGATCCTCCAAAAATATCCCCAACAAGAGGAGCATTCATCCCCCAAATAACAATATTCCTATCTGCAGGCACCATCAAAGACCACATTTAAATGGATTTTGTTCTTTATAAGTTGTCTGTTTCACTAGTAATGAGGCCTTTTGTCACCCAGGCACCTGAGTTGGGAAAATATTTTTATTGAACACATAAAAATACATGTGTCATCTTTCCCCTTTCACCCCCTTTTTTGTCATCACAGTAAAAGGAGGAATTTTTTTCTTTTTCATCAAAGTTTAGATGCAAGATGTTCCCCAGTTAAATTAGAACAAAAAGGAAAAAGGAAAACCCAAAACTTAGGTCAGAAAAGAAGCAGTGGGAGGCAGACCTTCAGAGGGGATGTATGTGTGTGACAAGCACCCAGAGGACCAGCAATCTGTCTGGCTTTGTTGAGGAAGATATTTTATTCTTTGCCAGGCCAGTGTGAAATGTGGAAAACCCTCACTGTTCTTCTGTATCTTTGGAATCTCCATTGTTTGGGGTTTTTTTTCTTTCTTTCTTTTTTGAAGTGGTGTCTTGCTCTGTCCACCAGGCTGGAGTGCAGTGGCACCATCCCAGATCACTGCAGACTGGAGTGAGCTACTGGGTTGAGAGATTCTCCCACCGCAGTTTCCCCGGTAGCTAGGACTACAGGCATGTGCCATCATGCCAGACTAATTTTGTAGTTTGTGTGTGTGTGTGTGTGTGTGTGTGTGTGTGTGTGTGTGTTTGTAGGGATAGAGTTTCACTATGTTGTTCAGGCTAATCTAGAAATCCTGGACTGAAATGATCCTCCCACCTTGACCTCCAAAAGTTCTGGAATTACAGGTAGGATCCACCATGCCCAGCACAGGGGTTTTTAGGTATCACTCTCCTCTTTGAAAAATGAATTCCAAATTAATCCTGAAAGAGCTCTGGCTCTCAACAGAATAGGTGTGTTTGTCCTTCACCACTTGATGCCGTTTGTAGAGCCCTAGCCCTGGCAAGGGAACAGAGAGAACAGGAGGGGTGTGGGATCTGGAACTGAGAGGCAATAGCCACCTCTCTGGCACATTAGGTTAGGAACAAAGAGGATTCTGCCAGCAAGAGGGGCCTAACTATTGCTTTGGGCCCTTGCTGTAGCTGGGAAGCACACAGCCAACTCGCACCACCTTTCTGCGTTGGTCACCCCAGCTGGGAAGTCCTATGAGTGTCAAGCTCAACAAACCATTTCACTGGCCTCTAGTGATCCACAGAAGACAGTCACCATGATCCTGTCTGCAGTCCACATCCAGCCTTTTGACATTATCTCAGATTTTGTCTTCAGTGAAGGTAAGTTCGTGGTGGGGGTGGAGGGGAAGAAGACTCCGTCGATTTCAGGAAGTATGGGAGAGGGACATACCAGGGCTGCAGGATGTTGCACTTGGATTTCCTCTAGGTTGAAACGACATTGCTGGCCTCTAATAATTTTCAAAGACTAAAAAAGCAGTAGGCTGAATGTATGGACTTTTATCAGTAGCTCTTCCTTTCTCCCTCCCACACTCCTCCCCTTCTTCCTTCTCTTGAGTCCTTTCTTCTCTTCTTCCCTTTGTTTCTTTCTTTTCTCTTCTTTACCTTCTTCCCTTCCCTCTTATATTTAATCTTTTCCTCTCTCCCCATCTTCTTTCCTTTGCCAAAAGATGAACCCTTGCAGGGAGCAAGATTTAAAAACTCACCTTGGAAAAAACTGTAATTTTGATGCAAACTTCCCAAGGAGGAAGAGCTAAAAATCTTCAAGAAGTCGGTTAATCTAGAGAGCTATGGATTGGGGAAGGACCTTTGCCTTTCTGAGCCTCAGTTTCTTCTTCTCTTGGATACTTCTAGCTGTAGGTTCTGCTGCTTTCAGTCCAAGTTTCTGTGCATCCAGAATGCAGTGGGAGTGTTTGTGTATGCACAGGTCATCAACTCACTAATTCTTTCCACCAAGCACCTTCGTAAGGAGGATGTCCCTAAGCTCCAGGGAGGGAAGAGTTCCTGAAGGCTTTGTCATTTAACCCCAGCTGCTTCTGTGGAGAGTGTGGAACAAGGCTGTCTCTCAGTCTATTTAGCCCCTGAAAGGGAACCCAGCTATGCTGTGGCAGGTTCAGTTCATTCTTCTGTTCTCAGCACCCCTGTAGAGGTAGGGCACAAGGGTAGTCAAGATTTCTGCAATTTGTTCAAGTCTAGCAGCAATTTACGTTGGGCAAGTGTGGGATAAGTGAATTCAATTCATTTATTCTCTCTCCCTCACAAAGAAAGTTATTCAATTTTATATTCTTACTCTATATGGATTTAAAAAATCAGGAAACATTCTGATTGCTTTGTTTGTGCCTTTCTTTGGTTTGGTGACCCCCAGGTGAATACAACATTACCAATGTTCAGGATATTAGGGAATCTCCACCTTTGTCATCTCTGATCATTTTCTGAGATATTTAGCTTTCATAAAATGCAGCTTCCACTCAACCTATTACTGAGTAGAATGTATCACCTTCCACCTTGATTATTTAGAAAGCATTTGAGAACTCCTAAGTTAAATTGCCTTTAAGAAAAGGAGCCACTTCTTATTTATTTTTATATTATTAGCACCTAATACAGTGTTTGACAAATTGCAGATGTCCAGTTAACTTTGGTCGAATTTATATTTTGATAGTGTGGATTCAATTAGTGGAGACTTCCAAATGCTGCCATGTCATGCAAATCAGAATGTAATAAATTTAGTAAAGCAGTGTCACACCTGTTCAGGTGGAAGGATGAGCTTTCCCATGTTGTTTTTTCTACAAAATTGAAGCTACTAAACTTTGTCAAGACCTTAACAGTTTTAAAAAATATATTTGTTTATGAAAGTATTTATAAAATATAATAGTGTCTTTCTTAAACTGAAAATATTAAATGTAATCAAATATAATTTGACTTATTATGATTATTGATGACAAGGGATTTATTATGAAAAAATTGGACTATGTAATATTAGTCCCCAGTCCCCAGGACCCTACCATAAATGCTTTTGAGTTTATATGGGTACTCTTAATAGTTGATAATGACTTTCCAGTTTTTGCTGACTAGCTGTTACTGGCACCTCTTTATTTCTACCACCAGGGCTATAATTGCTGCTTCTCCTGGCTCCATACCATTCTGTGTTATTTCTAAGTTGTTGCTTTATAGTTGCCTATGGCCTGAGAAATCAAACCTCATAGATTTTTAGAATTGTGTATAAAGTAAAAATAAATACTGAATAAGGAGCAGAGCGGCTTTCCTAAAAATCAGTAAATTTCATTGCATGGAGTAAATGGCATCTTTTGTTTAGAAACCAATTTTGATCCACTTCAAGGTCCTAGATAGGGAAAGCTGCTGGATAGACAAAGAGAATTTGTAACCATATATAACTTCCTACATGCATATAGAAAAAGCACAAGCAAATGGCACTTGTCTCAGCCCAGGCTTTTCTGGGTAATAATTAGGATGTTCTCTTTTGTATGGTGTCCCCAGGCTTACGCCTTGACATTCCTGGGAGGAGGCAAGCTTCATTCAGAATCACTCACTGGATCAGTGTGCCTTTGTGTAGCTGAATTTCTTTTTTTTTTTTTTTTTTTTGTTCCTGGCTCCTCCTGTCTGTGCCTCTTAGCACCTGCCCCAACTGTATTTTGTAAGAGATCATTATTTTCGATTTGGTGGAATTTTATAGATTTCTTGTGAGTGCCTCTTCAGGATCTAGCACTGGGCCTTTATCCCTAGATTATAAGCTTCTGGGATTTTCAGTGTGTGGGTGTGAGTGGAGCATGCCTGCGTGGGGAGGGAATATTATGTCATATATCTGCATACCCATCCACTGCAGGGGTGTGTTTGTGTGTTCATGTGTGTGTGTGTGTGTGTGTGTGTGTTTGGACCGTGGCCATCGTCTAGCATAGCAAAATGGTTTCCTGTGAAGAGTCGATTCCCTGTGTAAGGGGGTCATACATTGCAGTCTTCACACTTGTCTACTGAATAGACCTTATGAGAAAGTCAAGAAAGAGTCAGTGAAGTCGGTAAGTGGACACTCACAAGGACTGAGAGCAGCCCAAATGGGGTTTGACGTCTTTATCATGTGAGTCCCTTTAGTGCATTGCACTTGGCTATTACACTGATCACCAAACAAAAGTCTCTTAGCCCAGCAATGTGCTCATGAACCTTCAGCTGCAATGTGCAACAACTGTGGTGATATTGTTAGTATGCAGAGTTGGGGTCGCTAGGTCTGAGAGTGGGCCCCACGAGGCTCCATTGCTAGCAAGGTCTCAGGTGATGTTGCTGCCCATGGAGCCTTAGAACTCCAAGGCCCTGTCTTATCAATGGGTAACAGCTGTTGCATGAGGTTTCAAGGAGTATACAAAGCAGGCAGGCTCTAAATAACTGCAAATTTACTTGTTTAAGCTATTTTTAAAATAATTGGTTGTGTAAAAATTTGGGAGTTTGGTGCCAACAGGCTTTTGAGCTAACAGTCTCAGCCTGCAGTGAAGAAATAAACCACCTAGAGGCCGAAACACAGAGCCTGTCTTTGGCTTGTTTATTTACCAAATACACTCTGTATAGCAACTATCACCTCTGCAACAGCAGCTATCACCCCTGCAATTTGAGGCACTGTTTCTCATTTGGGGTTGATCGCCTTGTTCTTTCACAGTTAATTAATTCTTGAGGGCCTCATTCAAAGACCCACAATTCCCTTTGAGTGCCCCATCTGATTTCTGGCTGAGATGAGATAGGGTATGTGTCCCTGGGAGGGAACAAATCAGCCTGAGTATTCTAGTAGCTTGAGTAAAAGGAAACTTTTATGTATGATATCAAAAAAAAAAAAAAAAAAAAAAACCATAATAGAATAGGAGGCCTACCTCTATTTCCCTTTATTCAGGATTCAGGTCTAATAGGAATTTAAAAGACATCACATATCGGCTGGTCCCTTTTAAATTCTCTCCCAGGTGGCAAACAAAACAAAACAAAACAAACAGACCTTCAGAAAGATACCGAGATCCCCATTTACAATGGAGCAGCTGAGGCACAGAGAGGTGAAGTGGCTTGGTGAAGTCTTCTCTCCTAGAACCTGTCTTTCAGGATCAGAGCCTTTGCCCCAGTGTCTCGGGGCCACAGCTGCTTCTGAGTAGCAGTAATCAACATGTGAATGTGAGAGGCATTTACAGAGTTTGTTGGGTACCCCCAAATTCATGAGCTTTTTATTATTGTTCTTAGCATCATGATTGGGAGATGCCACCTAATCTGTTTTTTACCCAGATCTGTGAGAACTTTAGTGTTAGTGGAAATGAACATGGCTTACATTTCTCTATCTACTCACCATCCCCCAGTACAGCGTCCTGTGGCAAGCTGTCATATCACAAATACATGAAGGGTTTGCTGATCCAGAGCATTGTAGACCTGTGATTTACCTAGCACTTCCCAGTTAAGAAACATGCCACCCTAGATAGTTGGTCCTCAGGGCCTCCTGAACAAGCAACCAAAGGGAAACAATCTGTTACTAACACAGCTGAGAACTGTGTTGAGATCTCCAAGATGGAGCCCCACCCTAGGGCAATGGAGTTAGCCAGTCATAGAATTCTATGCTTCAGATGCTGTCCTCTGGAGAGAGCACAGGACATACCTCAGAATTATCTCAACTGAGGGTGGGCAAACTGGTTGTTTACCCACCAACTGCCATCTATCACTGATGGCTGCTGTGGAAGCATTAACTCCCTGGGACTTCTGACCTGCTTTGTAGTCAAAACCTGTTGGTATATATGGGACTGGTGAATGCCAAAAGAAGAATGGACAGTGTCTATGTCCACTACACCTAGGTAATGGGATAGAAGAACTTTTTCTGCCTCATTGTAACTTTCAGTCTAGTGAGATAGGGTGCATACAATGCATGTCATGTTATCCAGTGGCATGAAACAATACTTGCCCTTAATATTTTTCTTCTCTAATACTTACATCTTTGTTTTTTTTTGTTTGTTTGTTTGTTTTTTTGTTTTTTTTTGAGATGGGAGTGCAGGCTGGCCTTGAACTCCTGGGCACACAAGCCTGAGTACCTCAACCTCCCAAGTTAGCTGGGTGGTGATGTCACTGTGCCCAGCTAGTACTTACATCTTGATGAGGGTATCAGCTTGTCTTCAGTCAAAGATCTCCAAAGCCCGCTTATCTTAACAGCCTCTCAGTATACAAAATACATTTTGCTGATAGTTACGGGAGTTCAGAGCCAGCCAAGGGAACATATAGAAAGAGGGTCAGACCCTTTCTCTCTCTTGCCCTGCCAAACAACAGGGGAAAACACAGCCAGCAGAAAGCTTGCCTCCCTC